GAAGTGTTCAGTTTAGAAAGATTGCGATTATAAGACCTTATGTTTAATACAGAAAAGGCGTTCGTAATAATAAAGACAATGTGACACCGAGAGTTTAATATACTCGTTAGAAGGTTGATCTGTTATTGTCCATTTATCGTTATTGTAAATACCGTTATTGTGAACTTATTGTTATTGTGAATTTATTGTTATTCTGTTCAAGTTAAAATATTATTTCGTCAATATATGCCAAAATGTTAGTAGAGTATTGAGTGTGATAGAGACACGAAGCGAAATGCGGATACTCTTGATGAAATCCTCGGAGCATTACAGTGGAAAGAGATATACTAATGTTGAGGCTGAAACTAACCTTCATTAACTGAATAATCTACGATATAATGTATAACAAGTATTAGATATTATATATATGAGCGGCATTTCTTCGTTTATCAGGAACATCTGTTGAACCTGACCTTCAGTAATATATTATTCGTCGTCGTCTGTATGATGAAACAGCGATGTTATTAATTCCCAATATATATTAACGAAATTAATAGGTCATTAAGAGTAGCGATTAGATTTGAAGTGTTGTAATTATTACGGATAGTATAGAAAGGCCGATGGAGAATATATCTGTTGCCTAAGATATATTCGAGACACGATCCCAATGTAAGTCTGCGAACAGGAGTACTACGAAACACAAATCATAAAACATAATAGTCAACGTAAATCATTCGTCTAGCAATAGTGAAATCATTCGTCTAGCAAGAAGGAAATTATTCTCTAAAGAAATAATTAGTTATGATAATGTTCCAATTAATTATAGAGATATACTTAAGTAGTACACGTACAGCTAAGTCGATGGCCTCATCACTAAGCATCGACACTACAGGGCCCTATTGTCACGGTGAGGGAGCGCAGCCCCTCGCGAAGACAACCTCCCTACAATCCTTCTGCATGTGACTGTTTATCTGAAGGCATGGGTGTGAAGAAACATCTGGGATGTATATATAGTCCAGCAATAATAATAAAGTTATACTTATTGAAGAAACATCTGGGAATCATGGCTCTCACACCTCAATAATGGATTCAGAATACAAAATCGCCAAATCCTTCTTCTTGTAGATAATGCTCCTTCTCATGTTGTTTCAAGTGTTGATGATCCTCTAAGTGCCGACTTTAGTCAATCATCATTTGCAGTTTCAACTTGTCAAATATTACAGTCTGTTTTTTGCCACCTAATATGACATCCCACATCCAACCTTTGGATGCTAGGATTATCAAAAGTTTCAAATCAAAGTACAAGCAGCATTACTGTTGTCATCTCTTGGAGCAGGTGGAGAACAAAGATCCAGAATGGTAAGTCTTCATGTAAGGATAAAGTAAAGTGACATTTTTTTGTGTATTACAGAAATAAAATCAATATCAAGCAAGCGATCAGCTATTACTGTTACTATGTTGTGTGCTCATGGGATGAAGTGACAACTATGACAATTGTAAATTGTTGGAATAAGACAGGTATTCTCCCATGTAGCATTGATAACACCAGACCAAATCTGTTGTTCTGTTGTGAAAGAGCCAAATGAACAACTGGAAATCAATGAAATTATTAGTACAACAACATTACTGTCTACTGATTTTGTTAATCAGATGGAAGATTATATAAAGGCCATTGACAAATTTTTGTTTTCTCTCATCATTTAATTTTTCTTGCCATCTATCTACTTATCCAACTTCAGCCCCACCAGCCAAGGGCAGGTGCAGGAATAGGAGTTACAGAAGGCACCTGTGTCAAACAGGTAACAACTTTGTGACTCAGGCATTGGGGACATAGACTAGTGTGTACATAGAGTAGAGTTCTTGTATTATTTTATTGAGAGAATTTACATTTATTCCTGCTACTTCATCAATTTCTTATTGCTTTATATTTATGCTAACAGAGATATGAAATACATTATTATAATAATGGCTTCAAATAAAAAGTTAGTTTACATTTTGATATCATTAATATAGACTTAAAATGTAGTCCAATGAGCTACAGCTGTGCTACTAATATTAATATTAAATCTATTTTGGGAGCATATATATTTTTTTGGTTATGTTGTTTTCTTAATTGGTTTATTAATTGTTCTACCGTTTGGGTTTTATTTTCTTAAAATTATCAGTTATATTAGCTAATTTTTCTGCCACCAGCAATGTTACTTTTGCCTGGTTTTGTTGTAGCATGCCATTTCTTATATCAATATAATCACTAAATTGGCTATTGACACAAAATATAAAAGTTCCCATTGCGGGACTTGTTATTGTTCTTTATTTCTTCTCTTCTCATATTCTCTTCTCCAGAATATATACGCACGCAACATCTTATCGTCAGGCATAAATCCTGAACCTTCCTTCCACGCATCATCCGTCTCTCCGCAAAATAACCTCCAGCTATCATCAGCATATTTTCCCACTCCAAAACTACCGCAGTGAAATAAGGGACGTCAGTACAAAGCAATGGTATGAACAGTTTATATTACGAATCCATTACTCACAGCTCTCGCGGAGAAGTAAACAAAGGATTGGCAAGGTACGATTGCGAGAACTTGATTATTCTTTCTGCACGCTTATTACTATTAGAGAGAAGTTTAATATTATCGAAATTAGTTAATCCATTAGAATATTCATGTGGATTTGTTAATGTTCATACAGATTATACGTAACTTCAATCCCATCGGACGCAGAAATTTACTCAACTCTCTAACATTTGCACCGACAGCACTTTCGGGCGAAAAATACTTGTCGAAGAACTTCCATAGCATAGGAAGAGCTACGATGGCATTAGTCTTATTCAGGAACATTGTACCAATAAGAAACTATCCACGTAATGACGAAAAGAAAAAAGACGTTGGTGATATAATAATTTAATGTAAACGGATGTTGATAGCATCGGCTTGCCTTCCATGGGTCGTAATAAAGTGTCTCCTGAACGAGATTCAACGGCGATGGCACGGGAATAAAGTGTTGCTTACGAGAACAAGAGCCTATGCATCCGGGTGTCGATTGCACATCATCACATCCAATCGTTCCAGCAGGTTTATCGTCATCCTTCTTGAATTTTACTCTACGCTGAACTTTACTTCGGTCGACGTCACGACCATTTCGTACGCATCCGTCCTCTCGTTCTCTTCGTCTCGCTTTATGGTCGTTGTCTTCGTTCATGTGACTATTTCTCACATTGTTCGACCGTTTTGATGCCGGAAAATATTTCGATATACACACCGAAGGAACTTTGGCAAAATACGGACTAGCTAAGTTTGTTTTCTTACTATTAGATTTGGGCATTCTTGAGAGAGGCATCTATAACAGAGGAAAAACTGTCGTCTATGAACAACACGTGATATAACTATCGAGATGCAATCAATTTCTAATGCGTGTCTCCACGAAAGCTTTCTGCAATAGAGCATCCATTAAAAGCGTAATGAGGGTGTATTGAAGCAGATAGATGTCATGTCCCAATGTTAAATCGATAACAAAAATTTTCATTGTAATTATAAATAGTTGCAAGAACATACTAATACGAACTTTGGAGATAATTTTATGGCCAATCTTGTACAAACTATAAGATAAATATGGTTGTCTGTTGAAGATTTGCCTCTCCAAATTAAATCAGTTGCTTTTTAAAGAATAATCAAGTTACCAAAACGTTGAACCTTAATTCTCGTTTCAGAACGTTGAACAGTAGGCGCGTGTTCTATTACGAATTGTATGTCTAATTCATTATCGATTATGAGAATTTAACGGGACTAAAAAGCTATCCGAAAACCACTCCTTTTCAGAAGTTCTTTGCAAATTACTCTAATGACGATACTGAACTGGGTATTTTTGCTCAAACCAGTTTAACTGTATATTCTGTAAGCGGGTTTAATTTGCTAACAATTCTATAAGAAAACTTCCAATGATTATAATTATAGTCGATAGCGATGTGCTTGGGGGTATGATAAAAAAAGTATATTGCTACGAGATCTGATCACTACTAACAAGATCTTTTGAAAGTAAAACAGTCTCGTTTAGATAATCAATTCATTCACTATACCCATAGACTATTATTGTGTGTTAGGTACTGTTAGGGTAAAATCACATGCCCTTGCCTTATCAAATAATAAGAATAGAGTGAGGGTTGTCCGGGGATTGTTGGAAGAATGAGGATTAAAAAAAGCTGCTTGGGCCTGAAGAGTCCTGAGATGTGTTAAACGTGCGGGAAAGGCAAGAAGGTTGGCGAAAATGCGATCACGTTTTCTTTGGCACACCAACTGCTTCTAAATATGGCATGTGTGTACAACACGTTGTAAAACAACGTAATAGCAAAGAAAAAGAAAACATGAATAACGCACGGAGTGCGAACACCTTGGTACTCAAGTAAATTAGAGGGTAATCAAATATTAATATGATGGGAGAGAACAAATTGCGTCAGCTGATAAGCGTTGTCATTTGTCCATAAAGTAAACCGAAGACAGTTTGCTCAACCGTGAAAATACCGAATAATCTATTTTTGTTATTCTTTATTATTATTATTATCTCTTTATTATTGCCTTAATCATAGATGTGACAACTTTTGTGGCACTTGAAGTGCCGATACTAAAACATCTTAGTTGAATTGTCCAATAAGACAGTTCTATAATTATGGCCGGGCCTGGCCCATATTGAGTAATAATGTTACCCATTTGCCTTTGTACGGAGTCAAACGACATTCCTGATGAAAAATATAAATCTCAAATCACTGACGAACTTACCCCAATATTATCCAATTTCTACTTCCTAATCTAATCGTTTAACACTACCGATACGCCAATAACAAGTGAAGATAATGTCAAACACAAACGCATCAGCAAGAAATCAAATTGGAGCCGTACCCGGATTCATCATCGGCGGATTAGCTGCTTGTGGTGCAGTTACCTTCTCTAATCCTTGGGAGGTGATTATATAATCATTTGTCATAATAAAAGTAAGCACAGTACAATGAGCTGATAGATCGCTCTCAAAAATTTTTAGGTAGTAAAGACACGATTGCAGTTACAAGGGGAGCTGGCCAAAGCAAATGCAAACATAGCAAAACCATACAAGAACGTCTTCCAAGCATTTTTCTATATTCTCAGACATGAAGGGATCAGAGGAATACAGAAAGGACTGGGTAATTATGTTATTCGGACGCCTATAAATTCCAAATCTCAGCTTTTCCCAATCACTCGATCAATCTGATTCACATTACCCCAAAAACAAACCATTTCATATTGTTTTTTGATCTCTTCTTCACCCTCTGCCCCCCTTCCCTCCCCCAAACTTTACAAACAGGTCCCGCCTATGCCTACCAATTAGCAATGAATGGCGTCCGTCTGGGCCTCTACGATCCAATTCGTAATTCTCTCGTATCAACATTTAACGCCTCTCCGAATTCGATGCCAATCTCGATTGCATCCGGTGGCTCAGCCGGGGTGATAGCTGCCACGGTGGGCTCTCCTCTCTTTCTCGTGAAAACTCGCATGCAATCACATTCCAAGCATGTCGCCGTCGGCCATCAACATAATTACACATCCACTCTAACCGCCCTAAAAAAAGTCTACGGTCAAAGCGGTATTCGCGGTCTGTTCCATGGCGTAGGCGCGAGCATGCTCAGGACTGGTGTTGGCAGTAGCACACAGTTGCCGAGTTATTTTTTTGTCAAAAGATGGGCAATGAAAATGACTGGTAGAGGGGAGGCAGATATTGTGATACATGTAGTTAGTTCGTTGGTGTCTGGCTTCTGTGTCTGTCTGGCCATGAATCCATTTGATGTCATCAGTACGAGGATGTATAATCAGAAACACGATGGAAGTGGAAAAGGAGTGTAAGTATTCCGGGATGAATGGAGAGTGTTCAAGACGTCAGAATCAATGGATTAGGAGCGAGGTTACAGGCATCAATGTACGAGATTTAGTATTGATGAATCTGCATCGGCAAATTAACTTCTTGTCTGTGAAAAATCTGGCTTATTAGGCTGTACAAAAACACTCTCGATTGTTTCATGAAAACCCTAAAGACCGAAAGAATTACAGGATTGTACAAAGGATTCAATGCACATTATTTCCGAATTGGGTTTGTAAAAAACGTTTCCCTCTTTGATATCGCTCTCTTTCTACTATCGAAACTATCAATTCTGACTTTTACTACTTTTTCTCCTTTAGGCCGCATACCATATTAACACTTGTGTTTCTAGAACAGGGGCGTGGCTTATACGTTAAATTATTTGCACGTGGCGAGATGAAGACTTGATTAGAATTTTTGTCGGAGGTGATTACGGTTTAGACTTGTATCGTATCGGCTATAGAATACCGAAATATCATAATAGATACTCAAGATCTAATCTTTGTATACAAGAAATTCAGAACTATATAAATAGATAAGATCTGACTGTAATAACGGGCAGTCGCATTCTCTGTCTATTGATCTTTTCAATATCTCGGTCAAAAAGCGATCGATTAGCGATTCCTACTTCTGAGTTGGATTGCGAATGGGCTGAATCGTGTTAGTTTTCCTTATGTCTGACTATTAAAGCAGTTAATAACCAAGGATTATAATTAGCTGGATCGATATTTGGTACAACATGCCAATAAAGCGCCTACAATTTGTGACAAGGCTGTAACAAAGTAGTAGAGTTTGTGTTCGAACAGACATATCATTTATATTTACCCCAATTCCCATTTTCCAGGATGAGTACTAATGCCTATATACACATGTAAAGCGTGTTGCCATCATTCTGGTTATCCATAGGATAAGCGTACAAGTACCAGAAAACAGCCTTATGTTAGTGTCAATACAGCTATCTGATTTTAGTAAATGTCTCTACTTAAACGAGACAGCTTGTAGAACGAATGAAAGAGGTTTAGGATAAACTTACTGTTTGGAGATACGTATATTTATGATGTTAAAGTGTTCTTGATTCGTCTGTCAAAAAGTGTTGCAATCTTCATGTAAAACGTATTGATGAATCATTACATCTCTTAGGAAATTAGTTGCATTATTGTTTATTATTATTGTCCGACCCGTTTAGTGACCGCGTGATGGATCTAACTTCTTTTGTCGTCTTGGCTTGCGTGTCGTTATTTGATATTAATGAGCCTTTTTTATTGAATATGTTCCACATACTGTAAGCGAAATATACGCATTAATTAACGTTGTTATGTTTTCGGAATATTTACCGGCATTTATTTATCTCTTTTAATTAAAGTCGACGTTGATAATAGCGAAATGCTTCACGAATTTTACCATCAGATAGAGTTTGGTGTTAAATGTTTGACGATCGATCGCGAATCGTCGTTCACAGGTGGGTAAAGCGATCTACGAATTGTATTTCTTATGATGGGCGATCTTATGTCTCTCGGCGCGTTGAGTGGATCCAGCATCCATTTTGTTCGGATGATAAATACCCCGAAGTTTTTCTATAGACAATGGCTCATGATCTTCGACATGGAGTTTTGCGTTCCTTTATTAGTTGTGATCTTCGACATGGGGTTATTATTCAATGATCGGAAAAAGGATTTTCATCTTGAGATTCCCGCTAACTGGTTCGAGTTAATGCTGTAATTTACCGAGGTAAATCCATTCGGAGAAACCTAGAAATAAATATAATAATATATATTTTAATTTATATACAAATTTTATTTAACGCTCAGCAGAAATATGAAATTCGACATGTCATCGGTTATTTTCGATCATAACTCCGACCGACAAAACCCTGTCAGGAAGATTAAAACCAATAGGTGCTGGACTGTATCATGATGTTCTGTATTTCAACTACCATCACCGCAAAATACGATTAATACAGCAATATCATATAATGTCCATTTGTCGAGATTGATTTTGTGGGCTGTATGCGATGCGATCAAGATGCCTTACCAATAATGCTCTTTCTTGCAACCCTAGTTTTGGAAAATAAGCATAGTTCTGGCAATATTAGGCATGAGGCAATATGAGACTCTCGTTGATATTCTACGTTGCCAATTCTATGGAATGGTAAACAAAGGAATCTGAAACATGCTACCTTGGCTGCTTCTTATGCAGGTTTTGATTATGTCTGATTTAACCGTATCATTTAATACTCAACCCTCCATTGGCATTCACACATATCTTTTATATTAGGTCAGATATATTAATTTCGCATTAACATGACTCCATCATTCTGTGTTAATCAGAAGGACAAATAATATTAAATAGTTTTAAACGCAATTAAGACATCGTTTCGTTATTACAGAATCAGAAACGTTTGTGAACATGTACAAATGAAGGCCTAATATGCTATTGTTGAACGTCGAAAATAAGTAATATCAATTGGCTTAGCAATAAAGATACTATTGAAGTAGAATAACAAAGATATCTCCAATGTAATGAACGACTTTACGCAATACAACCACAATCAGAGAATTTGATTTGAATTGATAAAAACAGACATGAGCTCTCCTCCAACTCATCGCCGAACAGGACACTCGGCCACGAGTGAAGCGTCTCGAAGTGGTGAAGCACCACATCTGTCTGCGTCATCTACTAGAAGCTTCTCAACTAAATAGTAAATACTATCAATTACATCTTTCTCCATTACTAAATCTAATCTGGTATTTCCTACCCTATACTTTCTTTGCTCTTGTCGTCTTTTTTCATAACAGCCACTGTAATTTCACTTCCATGCGTCCGGCAGATGATGCGCAGTCTTCTTAATGACCGTCTTCAATCGATGTTCTAGTAGTTCAGCTTGTCTTTGAGCATTGGCCGCTTGCTTCTCGAAATCTTCGGTCGAGACCCTCGCAACTTTTGACGAGAGACTGTTCGTACCGTTCCATGTGTGCATCATTGGCGAACCTGATTGTGAAATGAGTTTTGAGACCAAATAGGAAATTGGATGAGAACGGGAATGGAATGTATGGAGACATGCATCTATAACTGACTAAGTACTATTCTTATATGTAATCACGTGAGGCAGTAGTAGGCTCATCGTTAGTGAAGAACATAGGTAAGCGAGATAAAGCGTCGGGAGACAGTAGAAAGTGAGAGAGCGCGCATGTTTGTTTGCGCGATTCTCAATTGGGGATAGTGACGTCTAAGTTATGGTTGTTCCTCTCTGATGGTGAGCCAAGTGGAATGCGGAAACAGGTTGTTCAACGTTGAACTGTCGATAAAGTTCAAGAATGACCACTTGCATACACCCTTCCTAGCGACTTAACGTCCGGGCTCTAAGTCTCCCTCATCAACGACATCTGAACAATATTCAATCCACTCTGGTTAAAGCCAAACTTCACGTCAAACGTTTTCCTGCCTGGAAGCTGAGGCAGCTTACGCGATCGGGTTAGGGAATTCCTACTGCAGCTGTTATGACCATATCATTCCTTTCCCGTCTTTCTTCAGCCAAAGACTTCGTCGCATACAATGACTTCGAGTCTTCCTTCTGTTATCAAATATATCACCCTGCTCTCGCATTAGAGGATCTGGCAACGAACGACTGAGATGATCGTACATTAAAAATGACTGTCGGTGTCCGCTGCTTGTTTGTAGCTGTTTTATTTTATTTTGTTTGTAATTATTTGTAATTTTATCGGAAGCAGGTTCGCCGAGTAAGTTGAACATTCGACGAGAGATAAGGGGATCTCATTATACAAGTTGGATAGTATCATATGAGAGAATATAATAGTATTATCTAAGGTAAAGTGTCGGAACGTCAATTAGTATTGAATGTATTGATATTATAAGCAACACTTATGGATACAACAATACGATACTAACCATGTCTATTTTGTATTCTCTGAGCATCAGTTTATAAATAATAGTTCACATATAAACTAACCCGATAACAATAGCCAAAGAATAAAAAAATTTCCCAACACAATTTATCCCTTCAATTACCCTTCTCAATTATCCCCCATAGAGATACAGGCCTTTTCAGTATCCGCGACCACTGAGCATTGAAGAAAACCCACCTGCATCCACATTACCCAATCCAAGGCCAACGCCAAAGCCAGTGCCAAGTTGTGGTTCATCTCCAGTTCGTGTCACTCGTTCGAATACACTCAAACGATGGCCCCCGATAGTAGGGAGTTGTTGATGGGGCTGAGGCACAACTGAGGTACTGGGTGTCCGATATGGTGAATCAGGCGGATTAGATAGGCGCACAGACATGATTGCTGGGTCTTGGAATGACATGCTAGGAACAGTTTCCGCTGTGAGAGATAGTTATTTGTGAGATAATTATTTGATGGGAGATACGTGAAAATGAGCATATGTAATGTAGTATACTCACTCGTATGTGTTTCCTTGGGCAATGTAACCGATCGATTAGGTGGCAAATGCATGTACATTGCCTCATTCTGCGTCTCGTCATGTGGATTCGAATTAACAGATGCAGCCTTCAAAAACGCTCCAAAGAAATCTTGAGCCTCTTCTTTAGATGACCTTTGCATTCCATGTTGCACAAATGCCTGCTGCTCTTGATGAGGCATTGGTCGTGGTAAGAACTCTTCATCCATGTTCCACGGCGCTCCTGACGCTGTGTTCCATCCGGTATTCACATCATAATCCATCCTCGTCGTTGATGGATATATTCCCGGTGGAGGTATCTTCGCTGTTGCGTTCATTCCGGTGTTTACGTGTTGATGGGCTTGCATCATCAGACTCTGTTGATAATGAGAATCTAACTGTGTGGTCGTATTAGTCGAATTTAATGATTGTATGGGAGTTAATGGACTGGGTAATGGTACTCCTGGCGGAGCTGTGAAATTTCTACGACGAGGTGTATTGAGAGGCGTGTCTGTCGTGTTAGTCCAAGCCAAGTCCGAATGCGTCTCACTTGGACCGAAACTAACATTAACATTGGGAAACAAGGCTCGAAAACCCTCTTGCAAGTCTTTCATTGATAGTGGATCGGAAATTGAGTATGTGTCATTTTCGTCCTGTGCAAAATCAAAACGAGATGCATGTCGTGACTTGGTAGTTGATTGCGTAGATGGTGACCCTAATATATTATTATGATTAGATGTGGAATCGGTTGGTAATGCTATCTGTGTTTGAGTATTACTAGCAGCAAATGGATCAAATCGTTTATCTTCATTGGACGCAAATGGATTAAATAGTCCTCGATATGGAGTTAATGCTGGTTGAGTATATTCGGCATCAGGTACACTGTTAATTGCACTTCCAACTGTATCAGTTCTACCAAATCCAACACCTGGCGGGGGAGACACTATCCTTGAGACTCCAGCTTCAGAAGTAGAAAGCGCGATATCTTCATCTTTTTCTTTAATCTCTGTTACGGTTTCATCCACTGTTCCATTATTTAAAGCAAACGTGAACGATCCGTCACTCAGTGCAGATAAGACTTGATCAAAGTCAGGGATTGTTGGTTGCTTAGTTGGGTATTTAGGTGTCTGTGGATTAGAGTTGTTTGATGCCGGATCTTTTAATATATCTGTTTGTTGCTGTGCTTTATCTTTTTTCGGTTGCTCGGTTTGTGAAGGAAAGGATTGTTGTTGTATAGAACCGGATTGTTGTTGTATTTGTAGCTGTTTCTGTTTTCCTAATTCTACTGTGTCTTTTCGTTTTACGGGGGGAGGGGTTACTGGGGTCGCGTTTGTTAGCTGTTCAGTAGACTTCTTTGTTGATGACTTTGCGGATGGTAATACATCTATTGTTGCAGCTCGTCTTGGTCTCTGGTAAGGTTGTGTTGGGGGTGATGAGTGTGGTGGTTGTGAAAATGGAGGGTGTTGAGAATTGTGAGGAGTGGATGGTTGTGACTGTGAATTAGACGTAGGCATGGAGTATTTGTTGAGTACTGGAGTATTTTCAACACTTGACGGTCTATTCGAATTTGTGGCCCATGAGGCTGTCGGCGGTAATGCTGAGGCTGATTAACAGAAATCGGATATAAGTAATGGTTAATAAGACAACAATAAGACATATGAGCTGTTAAACGATCATTCTATTATAGTCGTTAACTTGCCTTCATCTTTATCATCATGATTAGTCTTATCGTGATCTGGTCCAAATACTCGATGAGGTGGCTCTTTCTTTACATGGAATGAGGAGGAAGGTGCAGATGTTACTTTGCCAATGGCATGTCCCTTCGAAGGTGCATCTTTTTCATTCACGTGATCCTTCAAATGATACTTTCTACTCCACGAATTGAATACAAAATAACTCAGCCAAGGACATGAACATGATTACAGCTACTATAAACAGAAGTTTTTCGATTTGGTAATGTATCATTTAGATGTCTTACACTGAAGCCAGATCTTCCTTTGTATAACTGTCAGCCTCTTCTCCCGGTTCGTGTAAATACATGCATGTAGGATTCTGACATTTCGTATTTTGTAGATAGTTTGTACAGTATTTGGTGGTACCATACGATGCTCTAATTAAATAACAAGAAGGTTTAATATATTATATTCAAAACACATTGACAATACTGCTAATACATTGACAAACCTTAGAACTTTCCCATCGGACATGCTACCGTCTACTGCAGCTATTGCCTTTGCCGCATCTTCCTTCCGATAGTACGTAATGTAGACGCCAACACTTGGTTGTGGTGTTGGAACACCAGGAGTGCTAGATGATGTTGTATTACGTCGATTAACGACAATCTTAGCAATCCTGCCATACTGACCAAAGTAATCGTGTGATCGCAATATCTTTCACATTAGCAACGAAAAGCAGGTGAGTAAGAACGGGAAGAAGAATGGGTAAAGGTGATTTCGGAAATAGTATCGTAATCTGCTACAAATATCCATATATGCTAAGTACTAATAATATGACAATATTTTCACAATATTGATATATATCAGAAATATTAATTGCCATCTTCATTGTGTTACTATATCCCTCTTCTATTCATACTTCATTGTCTTGTATTCATCTGAGTGATCGCATACCTCCTCTGTTGCGATCTTTGGACTTAGCCCTATTACGTATACAAGATTCTTCTGCACTACTCTCATGTTGGCTAGATGTTTCCTATTCATCGCCTCAAGCTCCTTTTTTTCTCGTTCCTTCTGTCTCTTTTCAATTTTGATTCTGGCTAACCTATTGGATATATTACATCATTCGTTGATTCACAACCATCCAGGGTTCAGGGAAGAAAAACGTAGATTACATTAGATCAGTAGAAACAAGCAAGCCATACGCCTTGAACTCAATTAGCTCGTTTGGATGCTATCTAACAAGAACCGTTTTGCAGTAATGACCGAAATACCAAATAACATTAGGCTTTGTGGCTGTTCAATGTCACAGCCAATCCATTGACAAATATATACACAAGACTATGGATATCCTCACAGTAGAGTATTCATAATAAACAGAAAAATTAGAATGAGACATACTCTTCATTTGAAATAGGCGTAAATTCAATCGTCTGCTCAGAATAAACCCTCCGGCAAGCAGGACATTGTGAATTCAGATCTTGTTTAATGCGATGCCAACAGAATTGACAAATCTAAATTACAAGAAGAAATTACAATGCATCATGCATTGTACAAAACAGTGTTAGGATTGTATATAAACATAGAGTCGATTGTGTCGAAGAGAATGTCGAAAGAATTTTCTACGGTTCTTATTCAGCTCATTTAGAACTATAATAAACTACTATTCGGCCATGACTACAACTATAATATCCTCTTTCTGATATATAGACATCCCACCTGATATCCGCAAGGGCATGGCCTGAAATTCCTGTCGGATAGATCCATCACTTCCATACAGAGAGGACACAAAAACTCTTCTTCATCGGAATAGTACTCTGTCTTAATCATATTGACTAACTATTTTTTCGAGAGAATAACGAATGGAGTGTAAAGGTATTAATGGAATGCGAAAGTCAGCTGGTGAGTATGTGAAGTGGGTGTAAAGTTTAAAACAGGTTGTTGTAGATATTCAATGTATCTCGGTTGTTTGTAGAGTGAGACCGGCTGAGTGCGTATTGTGAATAAGGTGAGTTGATCAAAGCAAAGTTGAAAGACTCATTTGTATATGAAATAAACCCCTTATGGTGTACGTGTGGCTTGAGTTGTGGTAATAATTTGGAATAGTTGACGATTACTGATAGAAAGATTGTTAATTTAATTGGTGTATTTTATCACATGATGAAAACATAAAAAGATGAGAGTTTTTTTTTCTTCCTTGTTTATTTCAGTATTACGATTTGTAACCATGATACAACCAACTCTTTACGGATGCAGAATGCAATCTCGAGTCGTTCTTACTTTGTTTAGTTAATTTGTTCCTGAAGCAGTTACGAGCATACGTAACATCGTTCAGCAAACTGTTTTAGAGTTCACTATGACCAAAGTTCCATGTAAAGGACGTTATGGAACAAGCATACACACTTTCATGAATGCCAAAATCAACGAGCATAATTATGTCATAATAGTTTGAAATTTGGCAAGCCGAATGAAAACATATGTTCCAGGTTCGATGCATTATTTTGATTCGAAAGCCTGTCCTGTCCTCATATCGAGAGCACTTTATCCCAGTGTAGCACTGCTCACGGATTTCACTGTAATATGTTCGTACAGAGAAAGTGTATATGAGCACACGTGGCGTTGAGCAATCTGATGGCAAGCAAAGGTAGGAATATTGAATTGCAATGTATGAATAGGCTTGTCAGTAGAATATTTATCGTGAACAACGTTTCACATTTTTTCGTTCGGTCCTTCCCGTTTACTTGCGAAATTGCTATCAGATATAATTCCTTCGTTCTTTCTACAGAAAACAAATGTATCTGTGACTAAAAATGTTCGCTATTTTATTTTCTTTTAGTGGGATGATTACGCAGAATTGGCCTTCTTGAAATGTACGCTCGAAGGCTATGACACATATATATAATAAATGAAGATGCAAATCATAGAATTGGTCGTAAACATTCAATATTCTAATGTTAGACGACCAGAACAAGAGCATCTGATCAATCTATTTAATTAATTGTAATTTTACGTAGATATTAATATTCGTTGGAGTCTTACCACAAAATTTTCTATGTTTTACTTTGCCAATTTCTTGATCATATTTCTACATATATATTACAGATCCTCACAAGTCCAGCAACCTGAACGGTTATTAGAATTTATATAGCGCCAAAGACAAACCAATTGAGATAAAGCCAGATAAAGTGATAACACTGCAGAAGTCACAGATTTATTTACCCCCATTTTTACTTTGCGTTTCTGCCTTTATCCAAAAAGTCTCGGTTGATGGTGACCGCTATCTCTGCAAGAATTGATAAAATATTTTCCCTTGTTTTCTCAGCAGTATGGAAACGGTAACAGTAATGTTTAATTTGAGATCTAGCAACACGATCTCGCGTTATAGACAATAAAGAAACTAGCATACGGCTCCACTTGCGGTTGACAGTTAAAAATTATACAATAGCCTACAATTTTATCATGTGATGATTGATATGTCAAGGTTTGAGACTTTTTTTTTGACTTGTGGTGAATCAACTCGGCTCTCAACTTTGAATTACATCTATCATTGCAATAGGGCGTTTCTGCCGATAATCTACAATACTAGCAATGACATTGTGATGCAATCCGGAAACTGTCTAAACCTTAATTGTCGTCACGTGTAACGTATAGCTACCTTCAATAGTAAACTGGAATGGATTATTACGAATGTTGAAAATGGATATTAATATAAATTATTTCAAAATTTTACGGATTTATTTAAAAAAAAAGAAGATAATATCCGGAAGTACAGATACAACAGCCAAAATTTTTCACAATTGCTCAACATACTCTTACAAAAAGTAGATATCATCGTCATCCGAAATGTTCATCAACTACACATGATTTAAAGCAGGCATGCATTTGATTCTAAGCTATACTTTAGATCTTGGCCTTCTGATGAACACCCGTAATCTCTGGATATAACAATGTAGTAATAAATTCGGCATATTCCTTTCCCGTGATCTGACTCGCAAGGTATCGTTTGGCGAGAGTATATTTCGTCTGACCGAACCGCTGAGCTCCCTGCTGCTTCTCAATCTTACTAACTTCCTCGTCAAGAAGCTTGATGAGGTATTCGGGAGTTACAGTTTTGCCATCTGCAATACGAGTACGGTGTTTGGCCCATTGCCAAAGCTGCGAACGAGAAATCTCGGCCGTGGCAGCATCCTCCATGAGATTATGAATTGGAACACACCCAAGACCACGTAGCCAAGACTCGATGTATGTAAGTCCAACAGAGATGTTGTTGCGAATACCGGTTTCGGTGATGGAACCTGGGACGTTCATATTAAGCAAGTCAAGTGCGGATACATTCACGTCTTCTCGACGTACATAGATCTGGTTAGGAGTCTTCAAATTCTCATTGAACACTTCCAATGCCACTTTGACCAAATCGGGATGTGCAACCCAAGTTCCATCATGACCGGCCTTAACTTCACGCAATTTGTCGGCACGCACTTTATCGAGGGCAACCTTGTTAGCATTCTGATCATTTTTAATCGGAATCTGAGCAGCCATACCACCCATCGCATGCACTCCACGCCTGTGGCATGTCTTGATCAGTAATTTCACGTAGGCATCCATAAATGGAACAGTCATCGAAACATCAGCCCGGTTAGGAAGGATAAAGTTGGAGCTCTGACGGAACTTCTTAATGACAGAAAATATGTAGTCCCATCTGCCACAATTGAGACCAGAGGAGTGTTGGCGCAGTTCGTAAATGATCTCGTCCATTTCAAAGGCAGCGAGAATTGTTTCAATAAGCACTGTCGCACGGATAGTGCCTCGCGGGATATTAAGAAGATCTTGAGAGACATTGAAGACGTCATTCCATAGCCTGAACAAAAGTTAAAAATGATTATAAGCGATATTAACAATGGGTCAGGTCACGGAAATAAGATAGGTTGATACTGAAACAATCCTTCTCATTAACTGTTTAGTCGCACATAATGATACCTTGCTTCCAAATGAGATTCCAACTTTGGCAGATAAAAGTAGGGTCCAATGCCAATCTCAACTGTCCTCCTGGCATTATGGAAAAAGTACAAACCAAAGTCAAATATAGAACCAGAAATTGGTACTCCATCAACCAAAACGTGTGCCTCGTCAAGATGCCATCCACGAGGTCTGTGAGATTAGAGGGATATGGTTAGTTGGCAAACGTAAACAATAACGGCACAGCAACGCAAATCAGGACTTTCTTGAGAGACTTTAGAGATATTCACCGTACAATGAGGGTAGCAAGTTTACCATCCGCGCGCAGCGAGTATTTCTTCCCATTGCCAGGATTGGTGTAGGATATGGTACGAAGATTAGCATCACGCAGGTTTACTTGACCATCTAAATTGTTCTCCCATGTAGGTGCATTCGAATCTGTTCAATTGAATGAAAGTTTTGCTTAATAAGGTTGTCCGTTATAACATTGTATACAGCAGAGTAATTTTCGGTAAAATAGGATGAAAATCTCCGAATTTTACCCTCAAAATCAGCCATATAAGTATAAGCGCCCGAATTCAAGGCATTGATGACCATCTTTCTGTCAACAGGACCAGTTATCTCCACGCGTCTATCAATCATTCCTGGAGCAGGCGATGCACCACGCCATGCATCATTCTCTCTGATATGTGCAGTCTCAGGTAAAAAGTCGGGTAACACTCCTCTATCCAATTCCTGTTGCCTCAAAATCCTGCGTTGCAGCAGAGTCTTACGTGTATGATTAAAGGCTCTGTGAAGTTTAGCGAGGAATTCCAGAGCCTCGCGCGAAAGAATTTGTTCCTGCGGCCCGGTGACTGGAGCGAGAACTGTTACTCCTGGAATCGAATTTGAAGACATTTCCGACGTAATTAAAGGAAGAAGAGTGTTTCGTGAGAGATGAGGAAGAAAACGGATACAGTCGGAAGAAAAAGAAAGTTGTGTGACCGTATTTGCTTTATTTGGTGACACGCCACCACATCACTAAAACAATGATGCAAAGAAAAAATTTTTTTGGATAAATCGAATCCGAAATAGGGCACGTTATATTGTCATACATCAAGGGCGAAATCTAATCAGCATACTAATACCCTTACTATGATCTAAATGCTGTACATTTATTGTCGAATCAGATGATAGAATTTTTCCACTCACAGCTGAGTCATGTTGCGATTTTCGCGTTCTTTATTACACCGGCGTTGAACGCAATTTTAGGCGTTGTTAAAACCAACAAAGAATTTATGTCAATTATTAATAGTGCACTGTTGGGCATCTAAACAGGAAAACCATTAAATAAAACAAAACTATATATTAATATACAGATAGAAAAAAAAGGGTGAGGATAGCGTTAATCTGTAATATTTAAACAGATTAAGATGGTCAAGGAGATATGGAACGTGCTTCTCTAAAATTTATTGCAAAACCTGACTCCATATTATTTATTAGGTAAATACCACTCCTATTTTGCAGTCCCGTGACTTCCGGATGGTAATATACTTGCAGTACACTCATATGAGATGCAGCAATTTTGACTGCAGTCTCATCTTGCTGAATCTAAACCAAAATACGCGGTTATTTTTCTGTTGTCCTGGATTTCTGGACTGGACCAATTAAGATTCTCCAGTTTATTCCTCAACCCCCAAGAGGGGAATGGAACTAAGAGTTCATCACTGCAAACTAAGAGTTTCAGCTTCAACCCAGCTTTGGTGGCCGTCTTCTTCGCTCACCCAGGAATGAAGCTCTATCCTCCCGTTCTAAGGACAACAAGCAACATTACCTTTCAGTCACTTATTATAGCTTGAGCGGACTTGGACGTGGGTGAAGTGATCTTCTTGAGATCCTTATTAATAGTGTCCGAAGAATTGTTTAACACTTCGCTTTGTGGTTTCGTTTCTTACACTGTAATGGTTCAATATGCACAACAGCGTCCACTGGCAAGGTGAAAATAGTTTGTTGATATGCGTGCACATAAAAATTTAACGCGTTTAGGCGCAGTCATAACGTGACACGAACAAAATGAAGGGTATTCATTCTCCAGTTGGCAGACCGCAACAAAGTGAATATGGTGTAACTGTGGGCTCTTAGCACTAAGTTCGATAACCCTACTGTTCAAGTAACAGAGAAGGAAGATGCAGTGGATACAAAATCGAACAGTTCTGCTCCAATTACTACCCCAGTGTCTGATATTCGGAAGAGGAGAGGGCATGCCGCAGAGATTTCAGCACATAATCTCTGGCTCACCAATTGAACATTTAAAACCACAAAAACTTCGCAAAAGAAAATTTAATTCGAGAACAGTGATTTATTTTTGAGAAACATTGGAAATGTGCAACCTATGCGGATTAGATCGCAGGACACTGGGAATGAGCAAAAAGCACTATAGACATTGCTCAACTCCATACTTCACTTGCTGGGTTCACTGTATTTCATTTGCCACGTGAATTCAGTATTACTGCACAATATGTGGCAATCCGTTAAAATCAATTTCTCTCTATTAGCAACAGGGATTTCTCCATATATAAATTCCCTCGCATATATCAATTTTGATATCCCAATAAACATATATCCAGATTTCTACATGTACCTCACTGTATCAAGATCAATTTTTAAACTTCTTATTTTGCAAAAGGTTTTTATTATGAATGAAATTTAAAAGCGGTAGTAATTGCCTGAATATCATACTATTTAATTCGAGAGAGTTCACTGTACTATGGAGATCCAACAACTTGAAATTGTACAAAAGTATTGGTAATTAGTATTAGTAAAACATATGAAATTTTCTTTTTTTCGAACATCTCTGTTGCCCATACTAATACGTGCTATGTAAGTTACAATAATTGAAGCCAATTCATTGTACTTTTTGAAAAATAATAACGTGAAATTTAAAAATAGTCACTGTAATGTGTAACACCAATACCACCACTTATCACTAAAACGATAACGGGACTGAATATATCATTACTTTTTTTCGAAAACACGCTTCAAAACGGTATAAAAATTGTTGGCACGTACAGACAATAGCAATAGAGATGTTCGAAAAAAAGAAAATTTCATATGTTTTACTAATTAATCGAGTGAACTGCTACTTAAACCAACGTGGGAGATTATTTTTCCTGCACTTCCTGCACTTGGATGATGTCTCTTGGGTTAGAACGAATGATTACTTGTGCCTGGTTTTAGTATGAAGATTGTCCTACATTAACACAAACCAATCGATAAACCAGATCGGTTTGCCTCTAAATATTAGCGTTCTCTGTACCATACTATTGCTTTTCTCAAAAGGCAATGTAAATTCCATCGAAATATCATAGTAGAAGGCTTCAGCAGTTTTCGTACTCTCAAATTTCAGTATGTCAGCCGAGCAGTCTATCCCTCAAATAGAGCTTGCATCCCGTTCTCAAAACCCGGTCAACCATCCGCCTACGACTCCTTCTCCCCTCCGAACATCCGACTCTCAAGCATCGACCCATCCCTACACTTCACAATCTTCCAACAGACCAAACCCCTTTTCAGAATCATTTTACATTTCTATGCCCGAAGAAATAACCCGGTCTGACTCGCAGTCGTCGATGTGGTTCGGTATTCCTGCCTTGAATCGACGTCCCTCAATTGGCGAGGAAGATGTGTGTTATCCATTGAGAGCAGAAGGGGATGGGATTGATTATAAAGCCCTTGAACATTACACCAAAGTAGAAAACAACGAAGAGGACCTTGACTATGTGAGCGAATATAATGAAAAGGATATGGATATGGCGATAGTTGACACTTCGAAAGAGAATGATTCGGCTAAGAATGATTTGGGTGTGAAGGGATTGTATCAATTTGACACAAATACCGAGGTAAGAGGAGATAAGCGACATTGGGAGCAGACTATTAAGAGTTATATATATATATATATTTGTGAATTGATTTATATTTTGATCGCTCAACGATATAATATAGGCCAGCGATCTGAAAGAAGAATACCGGTATACTTTCTACTCGACTGCTTCCGGTACAAGACGTGCAAAGACGCTTGGATCATTACCACCAAAGGGCACCTCTATTACTGACTTGCTGAAACAGAACAACTTCTGGATCGATATTCTTTCGCCCACTGATTCTGAAATGCGGGCGTTGAGTAAAGTAAATTTGAATTCTTTCAATCATTCTGATATTTATATTTACCGCGGCGCGAGGCGTTTACATAACTTGTTTCGACTTAGATATTTCAAATCCACCCCTTGACTATGGAGGATATTTGTGCACAAGAATCACGTGAGAAGTGTGAACTGTTTCGAAATTATTACTTTGTTTGTTTCAGAACGTTCGAGATGCGAACTCAACATGACACACGATTGGAGGCCGTGAGCATGTATAATATAGTGATGAGAGAAGGCATATTGACTGTAAGATATTGAAGGTTGAAGATGGATTTATTGTTGGTGTATGTATTCATGAACTGTCTGATAGTTTCATTACAGGCCTACACCACACTCTCACAACGTCAGAAATAGAATAAAGGCATTAAAGGATTTTCTCACTGTTACACCAGGTATGATACAATGAATTATGGAATAAACGTTATATTTATAACACTTGCTAAATCTCATTCAACTTGCCGTTTCTATTACTATTACTGCTGTCTGGTTATTTCTTTCCACCTCGGTTTGTTCATTTTTGTTATCACTTGTAGACTGGATAAATTATGCTATCATAGATGATATCACAGATTCTTTCGCTCCAGTTATTCTTCGTGTCGAATCTGAAGTTGATACCATCGACGACTTGGTTCTAGCTCTTAGGACCAGAGACACATCTGATATGCTGCTGAGAATTGGTATCTGCAGGAAGAAGGTTAACAGCCTACTAAGATTGGTGGGTTTAAAGATCGATGTCATCAAGGGTCTTACTAAGAGATTCCATGAAAGAATGGCTGCCAATGGTACCATGAAAGGCGGACCAACGGACGTCACCTTGTATCTGGGCGATATTCAAGGTTAGAATTAGATCAATAATACAATCAAAGCTTTTTGATGATATTTTTACTAGTACGCTCAATGTTTTATCTTTGTTACTTCTTTCAAGATCATATTATAACCATGCTCCAGAGTCTGTATCATTGTGAGAAGATTCTCGCCAGATCTCACTCTAATTACCTTGCTCAGACGTCCGTTGAACTTACTCAACTGTCGAACAAAGCAAACGACGCGATATCCAGACTTACTGTAATTGCCACTATAATAGTGCCCATGAACATAGTCACTGGTAAGAAAAGAAAAGAAAATTGACATAGTTTATATGATCGCATACACACATCAAATGATAGGGAGATTGATTGATTGATTGTGTATTTAGGTCTATGGGGAATGAATGTGAAAGTGCCTGGTCGAGAAGAAGACGATCTCAAGTGGTTTGCCGGGATAGTGGTCTCGCTAGTATTATTTGGACTTATATTTCTACTTGTCGTCAAAAGAGCCGGGCTCATCTAAACCTATGTCATAGTAAAACGGCTAATTGTCAGTAATTAGAATGTAGATGCTAACTTTCTTGTGTACCAATGTATCGTTAGGACTCGTCAATTATACAATGTGACCACAACATGCATACATAATTAGATACTGCATTAAAATTATCTATTTTTACTTTTTTGCTAAATGTAATAAAGATTCGCAATTCATCAACAAACGTACATGGGCTCATTTACATACTGCATGATTTCTCAGACATATTTGGCAATGAATATTTCCTCATTTGTAAGCTAGCTCTATGGCGTCAGTTTCATTCGCAACGCGAGAAAAGACGTTTGTTTGGTTTTTTTTTTAATCCAATTCCCACTGGTGACTGATTTACAAGTTGGTTTTTTTACTCCCCAAGATTCGAATTGACTAGTTGACACTACCACAACGAAAATGTTCTCACATCAAATCTACATCCGTATCAACCATCGTTACACGGCTAAATACTATCGTTTGTCATTAAGTGCTACTTTTTACTATCTATTAAAAAAATATACTAAGGATTTGGTGAAAATTCATCCAAACTAGTTGCATACGTTATACGTCGATTAGGAGATATTGGTGAGGTAGAATTTGTTCCCTCCAAATCATCACCTGGACCCCATCCAAATAATGCACATGGCATGCAACATCCCGTACAGCAGAAAAGAATGGAAAGCGTAATAAATACTGGAATGAAAACCGATGACATCCTAATCCCCGTATGACCATCCAATCGTGCGGCAAGTAATCCCACAAGAGCATAGAGTAATGCGCATGATACGATATACGCTATACCAAATCCAACCAAATTTGCCATTCCTCTGTTCTGTAGTGGCTCAGCTCTCTTCAATGCTATATACTGTAATAGAAGCACCAGCCCGTACTTTAAGCCAACCAAATAAAGAGGGATGAATACTACTCCCCAACTGACAGTAATGGTCTCGTCGATTTTGAGTACAATCAATACAGCAAGAGACAGTCTGATTATAAACCAGAAGAGCATATCGAATGCCAATAATAGTTTAGCCTTCACGGATGGAAGACCGTCTTCGTCTAGTGCTTTGGCTGTTTTCAACTCTACGAGATATTCCATTAAAATTGGATACAGATTAAGGAGCTCAATAAAGAAGTAAGGGGCAAAGACTACGGCAGCTGACCATGTAATCGACTCGTCCGCTTTCAGTGCGATAAATATCTGGAACAGCAAAACCAATACTGCATAGGCAATTAAAAGAGAGTTTCTAACTCGATGAAGAAATCTCTGTTGTCGCTTTCTATTTTTTCGTGCTTGTTCTCGTACGTTCGGATCATCACTGTACAATCCTTCATATTCGTCATTGTCATTGTCGTTCTCTTCGAAAGGATCTTTTCGTACTTGTACCAGCAAAGCGATAAACACCACCACGTCCACTATCCATATCGGTAGAAACACTGCTGTATAACTCCAACTCACTCTGTTGTCCGCTCGTATTGCAAGAAAGGTTAGGAAGAGGACTATAAGAATAATAGAAACGGAGATAATGGTGAACAGCATGCAGAGAGGTCCTTCGATGTCCGGGTCGAAGAGAAAACCTGCCATAGAGTCGAGCATACTGATTCCCATTTCTCCATATTTGTCATAAACCGATCGTTTCTTAGGGTCACTCAGTATTTCATAGGCATGTGTGATAGCTTTAAACTGCATATTCGGACAGAGTAGACAAACCGAAATATTGTTAGTTTTATGCTTAATGAAAGTTTTTGTATGGCATTACATATGATAAAAATCCCGAGAAAGGTGAGAAGGGGGGAGGGAAAAAGGTGCAATTACTGCTGCTTTTTACCAACCTCATCGGTAGCATTCGGATTCTTATCCGGATGATATCTCAATGCCAGCCGACGATAGGCCTTTTTAATTTCTTCTTCAGCGGCATTCTTAGACACTCCTAGTGTATTATATAAGGCATATGTATCTCGCTCCATCGCAGCGTTAGGCCTGACCGAGCAGGAAGAGAGATGGTAAATAAAGTAACAAAAAGAATCGCTCTAACGGCGATCAGTAACTTCGTTCGACCAGTCAAACAGAGGGTGAAGGGGGGCCGAGTAAGCCTAAGCCAGCTCGCTTGACTAGACACAAACGAAACTTCCTAATAAAATAGGTGTCGAACACACAAAAATATGGGCAACCAAGACGAACGCTTGCGTGTAGGCGGACAGTAACAATTCTTGTCTCGAAGTGGTATATATATAGTTGAACCTGTCAAACGAATACGAGTAGTACTTGTTGACAAGGCAAAAAAAAAGGACGGCTTCGAGACACAAGTTCTTTTGTGTTATTGACAAATTTCTTGGACACGGCTGTTTTTCGTTAAATTCAAGTTTTTTGATGCCAATTGATGCAAATGATTCAGCCTTGTACGACGAATCCTATAATTATACACAACATCTAGTCGCGACACTGTTCGCAAAATGGGCTTCGAAATCTTTTTAAAATGAGGAAGGAATGTTTCTACAGACTTTTTTTTTTTTTTTGAAATTCGTTTTGGGGGGTTCTTTTTAAAAGAGAATGGACAATGGTGACAGTAGTTTATTAGCTAAAAAGAGGATGTGTACCACGTTCGTTCAATCGAGATGATGCCATTTATATACAACCAATCAGCCCATCTGTGAAAAGAATGTTCTACACACGCGTAAGCAAATTTACCACTATACCGTCCATTGTTTATGCCATGTAAAACGACATGACAAATCCCACTGTTTTGCAAACGCTTCACTCTTCTACACCCCATAATCTTTTTAAAAGTATTATTGAGCAGATCATTGTTATCATGGTCTTATCAAACGAGTCAAGCTGATGGCTAATTTGTATAAACCATTATCAATGATATCGCATTAAAGATATGTGTACTTGACTTTTGTTTCTCTTGAAACATTAATTGTCTCAATGTTCAAGCAGTTTTGGTAATTGTTTCTTACCAGAGCGGGTTTTCTTTTCCCTCTCTCAGTCACTTGGCAATTCGAAGTCATTGGTTAATCTTTTAACGCCCGGGCTTTGTATGGAAACTTGTCATACTGGGCGAATCAGGGATAAACACAATTAGTCAAATATTTGCTTTAACAATAAAATGCTAACTCGAAATGGTTAAATAATAAAATGACTTTTCGCCACTTTATGTGGACTAAATAAATGTAAACTTTTGATGTCGTCTTTAAAAAAGTACGGTTAAATAATTTTGCGGAGATTATTATTAGCATTAGCATTTATGCAGACGTAAATAGACAGTTGGTTGAATATAATTAGTAAATATTAGTGTTTAAAATACATTGACAATTTGAATCAGTTTATCCGCAAAAAACAGGTTAACAAACTGGGTCTAAACAAATCCATTGAATAGAATGAACATATCTGAAGCTTAAAAGTTGCTTTCTAAAAACTTTTTAGCGCTAATGTTTGGTGCTACGTTACGTATATCTTTTCCTACGAGTCAAAATCTCGAGCAAATAATTAATTGTCTAGCTGTGACTCACATTGTGGTGTGGTTGTAAAATTTCCAGTAATTTGAATAACTTCAAATGACAAATAACACGCTCATTAATACAACTCGGACGTTTGCCCAAAAGAGGTTTACCTTCATACGTTCCCTACAACTTGATAATATCAAAACTACGCAACCAATCTTGAATCGAAGCGAGACAGCATCCAATCCTTGTTATGTGACACTAATAAGACTTACATTTACAGTGCTCTTCTTTTTCTTAAATTGCCAATGCATCTACATTTACACATACCCATTTTGTACATGGTGTAAATGCACACATGGAAAGAAAAATGACGTAACGAATTTGTAATGCTTTGACGTTTTTCATTTGTATTGCATTGCTCAAAACCGTTGACTAGTTTTAAGAGAATTCCCTATAAAGTTTTTGTATCGAATTTAGTTACAGCCTTGCTTTGAGCGTCTTGGTTTTTCTATTCATGTATCTTTGTCCAGAATTTGAGACAGAGCAGAAAATTGTACTTTAGATAAAGACTCATATGCGACTACTCCAAACCTGCTTTGTTTCATCAACTGTCGCATTTACGGTTGATATTGATATGAACCTTTTTATCTTCTTTTGGCGAAGATCGCAATTACATGCTAATTACTAATATCGATGTAGTATGAACTGTTTCAAGATTCTGAGAAAATAAGTTAATCCGTTTCAGGATACCAACCCTACTTTCGACATGCCGAAATGGGTCAGATAATAATATGGGGGCGTACTGTAACAAAGTGAACATTTGACGTCACTCGGATATCTTTTAATTTTTTAATTACTTCCTTATTTTCAATCAAGGTCACTTTTTAACTTCAATTTGAGCCTTCTGTTGAGAATTCAATTTTTTTAACAGAGTTTTTAATCGAGCAACTTCTTCCTTATAAGATTCTATTTCATTAACCAGTTCTTGGGGAGTCCCTTTTTTTAACTTTCTACTTCAATTTCTAATTCTTTTATCCTATCCAAGAGTTCTTGCTTCTGTTTCTTGCTCCATTCCTCTGACTTCTCTTGAAACTTAGCCACTTTATCTCTTTCAACTTTCAATTCCTCTTTAGTAGCAGACAATTCTTTTTCCAGTTCCCTAGTTTTCTTTTCTAAGCGAGAACTGAAAGTTCGAGAAATTATTTCTTCCGTAGAAAGCGGTTTAGTGCTTTTACTTTTTTCTAAATGGCAAAAACATCTCCTTCGGATTCTCTTTAACTTTCCACACTTTTCACATCAAGGGATAATGTCTTTTTCAAAATCTCTTTTACAATCACCACAAATAAAAGCTATATCAGTGTAGTCGTTGTCAGCGGTTTTCTTCGCGAGGCGGCTGCGCTCCCTCACCGTGACAATAGAGCTCTGTAGTGTCGATGCTTAGTG